ATCAGTACCACAATAAGAAACACAAGCCAGATATAGTTGGTGCATCAATAAAATCTAATATGATGACCATGAAAACTATACGAACAAGATACTAATCAGTGTTATTCAGAATAAAAAGAAAAATAAACCGATACAGCTGACTTTCTAAGATAATAAATACTAAGACTACAGTGCAAGCCCACAGATTTTGCTAAGCATTCTTCAATCAAAGTGATTTCCAGGACTTAAATATTAAATAACTCATTACTAAGTTAAGCTCATTAAGTTAACTTGCCAAAATGAAAATAAAAATCTGTCACACTTCCAGAAAAAAATTATTGTCACATATTTCATAGAGTTTGGCTGCATAGGATATACTGGTATTGAATGATTTGTGCAAAATATGTCTTTCCTGAATGCTAGATTAAGAATTTGGACAAGACAAAATTGCAAATCTGTAGTCTCTGATTCAATGACTATTAAGCAAGAACCAGGACAAAAATGTGTTAGCTCAATATAGTAAAAAAATTGTTCCTTTTTACTAAAGATTGTAAATAGGAAAGAGGAAAACTTCTAAAAGCTATCTAGAATATTTATTTTTCTCAATAACTAGAGATGCTTTTATGAAAATCTGCAAACCTTATCAGACTTAAAAATTGCATCTTAACATTTTTCCCCTTTCTTTGTATATTCCCTCATTTTTATCCTTAGTCTTTTCTTGTGAGTAGGAACAAGACATCACGCTTTATTTTTTCTTTCATCCCACATTTCCCGTACAGAGAATAGAGGTTATTATGTAACTTAATGTACGGGAAAACATTAAAGTACAAAACTAAAGATAGGACAATTCCACAGCACATAAACAGACAGAAAACATCAGTTTTGTAAACATTCACTTGAGTCAATCCAATCCAAAGACTGCTAGAAAGCTTAGAAAATCCTGAAGAAAAGGCTGAAGATGACATAAATGGAGACAATTTTCAATTAGGTTGTTGAGATAGAGACCACTAAGGAGATAACCACAGTCTTAAGTGCGTCATCCATCTTCTAGGTGACCTAAGTGTTGTTGACACTTGATTTTTTTTTGGGGGGGGGATACAATTTATATACTTCACAATTTAAAATGGGACTTTTACATAACAACTGCCTAAACTTCTAAACTACTGTTTGAAGACAGCGATTAAGCCAACTTCCTCTGATTATTTTTAACTGAATGCATATGCAAAGAGAAGACCTTAAGAAAGATATTATAACCCCTAAAGCAAAGTTTCTTAAAAAAAAAAAAAAAAGTATCGTACAAGTGCGAAACTACATGCAAAATGTATAAAATTATAAACTCAGGATAATTTAATGATATGACATGCTGGACTTTCTAGTACCAATGGGACAACATAATATTGTAGATACATACTATGCCATACCTGGTTCCCTTAAGTTTTAGTGATTTTGGTCTCATACCAAACACACTTCTAAAATGACAAGAGAAGAACAGGCTAAATATGTGGCTTAGTTTCTCAGCAAAGTTCCTGAGAAGTGGATGCTACAGACAAAAATGATCTAAATGGTAACTATCCCATCATTTCAATTTGCTGGATCTACAGATATATTCTTTACCGAGGAGGAAGCTCGAATCTTCTCTTCCGTCCTGGATGTCTCAATCTATATTCTCTATCTGGAGGAAACAGGGTATTTTTAATTAACGTTAAAACAAAAATATTCATTTATTCATAATATTACACAAGATAAAATTTATTTATGTTTATGCCAGAAAAAGAACATGACCCTGTCTTGTAAGCGTATGATTACTGGTATATGATTAAGGCTCTTACTTTGAAACACAGGAGGATGAATTCCATGATGGAATTGCTCTTCTTGAGCAATTGCTCTTCGTCATCTCATCATGCTCATCTCCATGATGCAATTGCTCAAAGTATTTGGGACATTTTAACACTTAATTCTAGTTGAACTGACAACTTAGGATAATGAATAATGTAAGTCATAGACCACAGTCAGTAAATCAGACTATGTAAATTCGAGAAAGGAAAATAATATATATTTTATAAATATATATATATATGTATAAATATATAATATATATAGAAAATATATAATATATATAAGTATATATTATATAATATATAAATAATATTATATCTTAATCATTCATGCAGACATTATAAGCAGTTCCATAAAATCTCTCCCATCTCCTTCCCTTATCTTCAGCTGACTTTGTGCTCTTTCAGACGGATTTTCCAATGCCAGTATGAGAATCATTGCCCAAATCACAGAAATTTTTACATAAAGTAGGACAATGCATAGCTAAAATTAGACTTAGATTTTTTTTCTTTTCATTTTTTGCTCTCCTTTGTACATTGTTTTAAATACATATAGTAATATATATGATAACAAAAAGTCTCAATATTTATCCCTTGGAGTATTGAAACGAGTTACAGAAGCACATCTTTTTCAAAAATAACTTCTGTAGTTCTTAGTGGGCAGTTTATTTTTAGTTATTTGTGAATTGCAGTAACAATGTGATGCAAAACAACATGGTGTCCAATGCTAATTAATGAAATTTCATCTAGGAATAGGCTATATGGCCCTATCTACACCGAGGAAAAAACGTATACTACTTAACCTGTGTTCAAACATATTTTGAAATCAGTTTATTTTGAGTTGAAGGGAATAGAAACTGTGATGAAAAACAGATTTTGAAACAATTTTACTTTTTAAATATTGTTTAAATATTGTTTAAAAACAATAAATTCAATAATAAAAATATGTGTAACCTACGAATGATAATGATGATATTCCTCAACATGGGGCAGTTGGAGAACATGTCTAAGGCATACACTTACTGTAACAGCATGCAAACAATGTGTTGGAAGGCACAACAAGTACGCGAAAAATGAGGCAGCCTTTCCACCACACAGTATTTTATCTTGATCTAAGTGAATGTTCTCAAGTCGACAGGCAGCACTTACTGCTAGAATCCCTTACCCAGCATTTTTATAAAGCATTAAGCTCAGATCGAAATTTCTGCTAACAGTAGTGCATAACTACAACTGACACAAAACAGGTTTTACTTCTGAGTCCTGTGGCTACAGGATAACCTCATACATACAGATGGAAACTGCAAAAAGAAACAGAGCTATTACAGTTTTGATAGAGACAATTCCAAATGTACATGCATGTTTTTTTCTTTTTCTTTCCCTTTTTTTTTTTTTACCTTGTGGTTGAGGGCCTCTCCATGTGAACCCTCTCATCTGATTATGATATGGAGGAACAAAAGATGTTCTGTGTGTTTGCTGAAAGCTGGGCCTGTGTTCTCTTTGTTGTGTTCCTGAAAAACAGTATTTACTAACTGATTCTGACTGTGTATAAGATTAAATGAAAAAAAAGATAGAGGGAATTTTCTTCTTTGATAAACATAACTTCTTAGATTTATGCCAAAATACTCATGTGAAATTATGACTTCTACAAACTACAGTTTGCCTAATAAGTATGGTTCTTGTTCTCATTTCCATCTGTGCTCATCAGAGTTACAAGCTGTTAACAAATGTATTTACAAACCAGATGGAAATTTTGTGACACAGATTTGGAGATTACAACCATTTAAAAGAAATGGAAATCTTTGTCCAAATTTAAGCCACAAATCATAATGAAAAAGGTTAACTATAGTTCTAAAGCAATAGCAGATGTTAACAGGGTCTGGTACCGTAAATCACCATCAGGTACTTCTAGTGCTAGGCATGGTCTAATACCACATCAGAAGTATTGCTGCCACATGACACACTGCACTGAATAAGCAGAAAATCATTCTGTCTGTTGTAATTTGCCCAAGTAATTCTGAATGGGTAATTTTTATCTTGAAGACTGTACAGCAGATCAAGTATTAAACAGGTAGTAAACATAAAATCAGTGCAAACAGTCATGTGATATTCAGCTAATTCACCCATAATGTAATCATCTGCTTATGCCTGAAGCAGATCAAATTTGTAGTGTTAGGTGATCCTGTTGAGCACAGACCTGTAATTAATGAATGCAGAACCAGAGGTCCAGTAATGGTAGAGAATTAAAATATACAACAACACAAACAAATAAAAGGGCCCACAGCCAGGCTATCTTACAGTCTTTCCTTCAAAGGTTACCAAAAACCTTCTCTCCTCTTGCATAAAAACAACACTCAAGTTTAAAAAGGGAGCTAATGGCCCCCTCCATGCACTTCTCTGCAAACACTAGCAGAAGCTGATGGCATCATTAAATTTTTCTTAATTAAGAAAGACCAGCACACTATACCCACATTTTCTTATCTATATTTCAATAATAAAGAGGCAGGAAGTAGTAACAGCTTTTTAAAATAGTAATGATAGCATTTTAAAATCTATTAGTTGTAACTAAAATGATGCCAATTTACTCTGAAGCCACAAAAGCCTCAAAGTCAGGCTGATATGTGAATGATGCTCAAAGCCTTTTAGAGGTCTTTTCCCCCCAAGTTAGGCTGAACTGGTGGGAAGACTAGTACCTTTAGAAAACCAACTGTTATTTTTGGAAAAAGATAAACAAGTCTTAGGCAAAAAGCCCTTCTCCATGTTGCCCAAAAGCTTGCCTGTATATTTTTAACTGCATCAGTCAGCCTTGTAAAGAATACTCTCCCTTTGCTACCTTACTCAGGCCTTAAACTACCATGACTAAAATTGCTCCCCTGAGGGAAAGGAACAAAAAAAACTGAGTCATTTATATGTCTGAGTCTGCTATAAAATAACTTTAGTCACTAAATAAATAACAGCAGTGTTTCTGTCAGTTTGCAAAATTTTATTTACTGCATACATCTCAGTAACAAGGTAGCTAGAGGAAAAAATATATATTACATATATATATATATATACACACACACAATATATATATATATATTTATCCAAACTTTTTTTTTTCACATCTTTGGTTTCTCAGAGAAAGATCTTAGGATTTAAGTCAGCTTGACAATCTGCCTGGGGTAATGCTGCTGCTGTTAAAGGATAATTGAATTCATCAATATCCTGGCTTTATGGAGGAAAATTACCATGTTACCAACCTGTGATAATTCCATTCCCTCTCTGTCTGCTCTGGATTATTCTGTTCTTCGCCATGCAAGCCTTGCAAACGAGAGACTTGAGGTTCTGGAAGGGTGTGTGCAATGACTCCTGCAAACAGTTAGGTTAGAATCAATGACTGTTTTGCCTGTCTCTCTTCAGGTGTAGCACAAATCAATCACACTTACAATTTAATAAAATAATTTTCTTAGCCCAGGCTCATACATGCTTGAAAGTGCTAAATCTGGTTTGCATTTTTCAAGAAACCAAACATTTTGTATCAAAAAAGGATTCTTGAAGGGGTGAATAGGTGTACAGAGGGAATGTATTTTGTGTTTCCCTCTCAGTGAAGTTTGCTTTTCTGCTCTGCTCACATCCACAAATCACTTGCTCCCTGTTATACCACCTTGCATCTGCAGATATACCTAACTAGACGTTTAACAGCAATACCTCACACAGAGATGGTTTAGGCCTCCAGACAAGGAGTGATGAACTGATGGAAAAAGCATCAGTGAAAAACAGAATATCTTATCTTAAGCTCGTACATCACAAATGAACTTTAGCACACAATAGCAATAAATCAGTCATAATTCCAGGTATTTGTTGATTGATAAAGCATAACTTAGTCTAATGCAAGGTAGAAGAATTAAATGTTTCTTTTATGAAGAAATGTTGTACTTTTGTCAAAATGACAAGCTGAAGCTACTTAAAGATCCAATATTAAGAGATGTGGCACATCCTCAAACTGATTTCAGGGAGCTTTGAAGGTCTGTCAGATCTGAGAAACATTTTTCTTCTTTTATTGATTTGTACTGAACATCTGGGTAGATTGAAAAGAGTTGGCAAAAACTAGATTTTTTTGACCTATGCCATAATATGTGATTTTCATAAAGTCGAACTAACTTTTACCAGCATGTTAATGTTCTTTTTTAATAACTGAGACTTGGGAGAGAGGGGAAAGGATTACATAATAAGGTAAAAGACCTATAGGTATCAAGACTGCAGCAAATTTCTGTTTCTTAAACAAAAGTAGAGTCTGAACTCCTGAAACATTCATTAAACTTTCTAGTATAGTTTTTGAGTTAACAAACTTCCTTAGAGATAGGACTTTACGCACAACTCATGGATGATTTTTCTTTTTCACACAAACTAAGTACAGTCAGTGACAAACTCCCACAAACACTAATGGGAAAATCCTTTCATTATATTTTTGTCAGAATAAATTCAGACTGTGTTTATGAAGGTTGGAAGACATGATCAAGAAAGGACAAAAATATATCTTCTACGTTTATCCCATTAAGTAATTTGTTTTTAATTTAAAAAATGGATCACGAACATACCCCATTATTGAGAAGCACAATAAAAAGCTAATTAAGTGATAATATCATTGCCTCATTGCCTTATGAGATTATTATATCCAATCTGCTGTTTGGATAAACAAACTAACATGATTACTCTTATGGAAAACAGAGAACTAACATAATATAAGCTTAATACATTAAAAAAGGCGAGATGCCTCTGTTTTTTATTCTTATCTATCTGAGGCCTTCCACTTTTTATCTTTAGCGACTACTAGGGCTACATAGAGCTGAGTTACACAAAAACTTGCTGGCAAATACATCAACTGCATGTAATTCATACATATCTTTTGGTACAAGGATCATTGTGAAATAAACCCTAAAACGTTTTAAAATTGCTGGTATAAATACAAGTATCTAACTATCTAAATATCTAAGTATCTGTACTGTACTTTTCATAAAGCTATTCAGTGCATTTAAACCCATCATAATTAAAACAGCAATGATTCTGAGATCTCCTGAATTCACTGATATAATGCATAACACTGTACAGATCCTATGCACATAGAGGAAAAACCTCAGGAGTCATCAGGAAACAGCAAAAGCAGCAACGTTTTTCTAATGTTTCCAATAACAAAACATCCCACATACAATAACTTTGTTTCTTCTGGATACACTACTGCAGCTATCAGCAGATTAGATTTATGATGCTCAAGAGTAGATTATTAACAAACAAGTGGTGAAAGATCTTGGCTTCCGGTGCTACATTAAGCTCTGCCAGGAACTAAGTACCAATTGTATTTATTAAAGTTGAACTTACAATAGTTGGAACAACAAATTGCACATCCTTGTTGCTTTGACAGGGTCCCCAGCTCCAAAACAGATTCTTGCCTTTCAAACTGATAAGATGCAAAGCTGTTTTATTAGTCTGGGAACTATCTCTGCCATATATGTACCATAAAACCATAACTAAAAAAGAAGAAATATTCAAGCTACTCTAAAAATTCACAGGACTAGACAGTATTTTTTCCACAGCAGAACAGTTTGTCTTGGGTTTGTTTAGACTGGAATATTAGGCTTTTGAAAACCCCAGCTTAGATATATTAGCTGGTCAAGTAAATCTTCAGGCATGTTGCAGTGATCTAAGAATCTTCCTTCATCTCCCTTCTAAGACATGTTAAAAAGTAACTTTAACTTGACCACATCAGGATTTTCAATTGTCAGCTAAAAATGCTAGATATCATTTAAGAAAACCTCTTAGTCAATATCAACTTTATTCAGACGCAGATACATATTTTAAAGGTAATTCTCTAACCTGGATTCTATACAAATTGAAAAGAAGTTGCTGTTTCACATGGACATATATGGTTTTCTATTGTTCCATTTATTCTTTACACTCTCTGTTATTCTGTTCCAGCCCTGCATGAAAACCTATATGAACCAATGGCCCAATCCAAAACCCAGTGAAATCAACAGAACAACCAGTGGGAACTACAGAACTTGGGTAGGAGCTATGGTCCTATTCATGTGATTGACTCAATATGGAAAGGATTATCCTCCTCTTCTGTGCTGGAAACACACACATTCCACCCACGCACATGCATTCCCCTCATCACTGATTCAGGATGGAATCCAACTGGACACAAAATCAGAAAGGGAAACCAATTATATAAAAATTGGTATTAAATGCATGAGATCAAAATCTTTCAAAAACAAAAACTTTTTTTTTTCTTTGTAATTACTACATTTGAATGTGAGGTGATATGCGTAACAAGTTGTAACATTTTTAAGGTAATTTTTTCAACAATTAAGCGGTGCAGAGTGCTGCCTTCAGGAGATACATGAATCTAAGGTCTCGTGTGCCTTCTACGCAGATTGAGTACAGCCTTCTCCCTGCTCCTTTCAATGTGCTCTGTGCTGGTGAGGCACAAGCCTGGTCTGGAGGCTTCATACATGTATAATCCAGACTTTGCACCCTGCCCCTGAGATTGGACATGATACCCACCTCATGCAGCTCTACCTGGTGTCCAGGTCAGACCTGGCTCATGCCTAGCAAGACCCTGACAGTATCTGTCTGCCCTTGCCTATGCAGATGTGCTTTAAATCATATTGATTTAAGTAACATAGGATGCCAACTGTACAAATTACCAACTTCTGAAAAATTTCTGCCCAGTAAATACTAAAAGACATGGAAAGATACTCAATGTGATTCTAAAATACACCTGTATATATTCATGTTTCACACTGATTTCCAGTCCTCTTGGAATGCACCTATCAAACTTTACTGCCCAGTAAATATGAAAAGACATGGAAAGATACTCAATATGATTCTCAAATACACCTATATATTTTCATGTTTCACACTGATTTCCAGTTCCTCTTGGAATGCACCTATCAAACTTTAGGCTCCTTAATACATTTAAAAACACACTCAAGCACTTCAAAATTTTCACTCACTATGTTTGTTTAACGAAATTCTTAAGATTTTACCTAAAATTTTGTGCAAAAGTATTTCATTAACATCTTCATATCAGAAAATTGTTACAGTCACTATATTTTTTGTAATGGATAGTCAGTTTAATACTTCTTTTACTATTATCTTCGAAGCAGTGGAAATCAAAATAAAGGTAAAAAAAAGCATCCTTCCTAGTCTCAACATTTCTATTTTCTTTTTTTTATTATTTTTTATTTTTCAGAGAGGGTCTAGGAAAGATGAAATAGGAATAAGAAAGAGAGGAAAATGAAATAAAGTCTGTAATGGACAGGTACATTTTTCCAAGAATACAAAAGTATATAAGGGGATATGATTACTCACATTGCCTTCCAAAAGCTCCTCCAAAGAGCATCCGCGATGTGACTGCTGATACTTTTCTTGAAAAAGTTTCCCATCAAACATTTTCCATGGCATCAAATCATCCATTCTGAATGGAAAGCCACAGGCACTGTTGGCCATGAGCAAAGTTGTAAGGCCACGAATAAAAACAGCGCCAAGATGCACAGCCCTGGAGTCCACTTGTGCAAGCTGTCAACATGAAAAAAAAGAAATACACTCCACAAATTAAGGAATGTAAGTGACCTTACCATGTTACTGAAACATGCAAGGAACAGAACAAATGCTAAACAGACCCAAAACTGTGAGAATGATGCTCATGGGGCATCTTGTACAGATGTCCTCTATTCCACAGCTCTAAAGCACTTTGCAGAATTCATCAATGGATTCTGCATGAAGTTTTATTTATAAAAGGAAGTACAAGTTTGTTTTAACAAATAGGATACCACACACTTTTTTTTTAAGACAGATACACTCTGAATGAAAACTCAAAGACAAAAGGAAAATTAATCTCTGCAGTATTTCTCAAACATTAACATTAAATTCACTACAAGGAATCCGTTAGTGGAATGTAAAACATTAACTGGGAGTATAAAGTGTTACATATAAAGCTATCCATTGACCTTCCACAGTTTCATAACTGGGAAATGTTACAGTCGTTAGAGATCATTTAAATCATAAGTTCTGACAGAACTAAGTTCATTGTGCCCAGGCTTCAGAAGTATTTTAAATATTCTAAAATTTTCCTTGACTGCAATTTAAAGCCCAAATTATTTCTCCTTAACATGGATTTCTTCAGAAGAAATACTGGAATGGTATGACAAAAGCCAGAAAATATAAAATGCGAATCTCAACAAGACAATTAAAACTTGCAGCCAAAATAAACTTGATGGGTGATTTTAAAATCCTGCTGTGGCAGGATATGGCCAACTATAAAACCTTGAATCCAGTAAGGGGAAAACTTCAAGTAGTGTAAGCACACACAGCTCCTCATGGGTGGATGCCTCTTCCACAGCCTGTGCTGCTGCAGTCTGTCAGGACCAGGAGGACCTCCTGACACCACTGCCATCAACACAGTAATCTGCGGCAGGACTTCAGTTTTCTTTTTTATTAAACGATTATGCAAAACTGGTTCCTGTGATAGGGTTTCCCTAGCCACAGGTAAAGGGCAGTGGGGTTCTGTTAAACCCACTTGAAAAAATGAGGTGTACCTCTACCTGCATTTCGATCCACGGTGTGGAAACAAAAGAGGATCTAGAACTGTTGTTGCTGGCAGAAGATACCAGGGAACCCTGCAGGAAGAACTTCTGCCTCTAGTGATTCTTGGGGAGGCCCTGATGACCCGCAGGGTACCAAACCAAAATGACACTCAGTACCTGAAACACCTCAGCACAGACAACTGACATAACCACAGACATCCCGATAAATGCTACAGCTCCAGCTAATCTGAGAGGTTACTTGAAAAAATGAAAGGCCTGTTGCCTATCCTTCACTGGCTGGGGCACTTCATACTTGAGAAAGGGGAAACCTTGCCTCCCCACCATTTAAAATAAAAATACTTGCAGCACAAGGTCAGGCTAAGAGTTTTAAGAGGTTACTACTTCCTTTGAACGCAAGTCATCATTTTACCAGCTGAGACCGGTAACTATATGCAGATTCAAAAACTCATCTACCTTCAAGCAGAGCAGGTTTTTGCAAACTGCCACTGAACGATGCTGAAAAGTACTTAAATATGGAATGTGGTTTAAGTGAACCAGTATTATTTGTACCAGGGAGACCATAAGAGTGCACACAACCAGTTATTATGTTGCAGCTGAGAGATTCTTACACTGCATTTAATAGATGGCTTCTATCACCTCATCAAATCTCATGTCCAGATAAGAAGACTTGCTCATGTCATAACAAGCTTTAAAATTAAATCTGCTTGCTTTGTGGTCTCAAGACTAAGGCTTTATGGGAGGAAGTACAAAGGAATATTCAGAACTCCCTTTTTTTGTAAACTAATTCAGCTAAAGAATTCTTTCAGAGTTTAAACACCCTGGTCTCCTTTGCAATCAGCAATTTGAACTTCAAGCATCTTCAATAAAATATCTTCCTGCACTCTGACAATTAACGAAACAGAAATGCTGAACTAAAATTACCAATAAAGTCCAAGAGTGACTGTCACATACCAACCTGTTAAAGCAAGCTTGCCAAAATTTGTATCAACATGACTTCTACTACCAATATTCCTACAGATCAGTCGAAATAACAGAATGAAATTCTCTCAGTACAAAAGAGAGTATTCTCTCACTGAATTATCAGTTTGTACTGATAAAGAATATCATTGCTGAAAACAGATTTTCATAAAGAATAACTAACGCAGTTATTTTCAGCTGCTGAAAATAACATAGTAAATGCTGTTCATCTGTATCAAGCATTCTGCAACCTTCTAATTTAACCGCTCTATTTAGTATTGATTCATACCTTTCTTTCCTGCACTGATAAAAATATATTGTTACTATTTTTTTTTGTTTAATCCCACTGATAGCAATGATATAAAACAGCTGTTGGAACAGATCACTAATACTACATGAGGGTGCTGGATGCCATCTGGGCCACAAATCTTTACAGAGTTCTGTTCTGAAAGCTCTATGCCTACACCCAACATAAATACGTGCCCAATTTTTTTTCAATGATGTTACTCAAATTGGTGCAAAACAAATGCATACATATTTGCAGAACAAGGGTCTAAATGAAACTTGAAAAATACTGCGTTTGAAGGTTATGCACAAAATAGCAAACACACAAGACAACCTTGAGGTTGCAATCTGAACACTATTCAAGCTGGAGATCAGTGTAGTACCTTCATTATCGATTCTAACACCTGCTGATGCCTACGCGAAATGAAAACTGAGCTACCAATGCAACTCTAGTACTTTCAATGATGGTGGTGACGTACTGTTTTAAAAGGTAAAAGAATATTTTACAGCTATAACGTTTCATTTTTTAGGAGTATCAATCAGAAGTTTGTGGAGCAGCAAAGTAAAGGGGTGGGAGGCTTGTGGATTTTTAATGGAAATCAATACTGGCTAGAGCGAGGCAAGAGCTATCAACAGCTCCCTCTTTATTTTAATAAGACAGGAAATATATTCACTAAAGAGTATTTTCTACTTTCCATGCCTGGCAATGATAAACAAAGAAAATGAAAGCACAGCGAGCCTGTAACAATGAGCCAGTGCACATGGCAAACCACAGACTTGCTTTGCCATGGGAATGCTCACAACTGCTTGGCGTCTGCAATGCAAAGACGTCACGATGAGGATAAACGGAAAATTCCTAAAGAAAAGGAGGCTTGCCTTCCAGGGCATTACACCCTAGAGATTACTCCTTGTTGGAAACCGTGTCTGTTCTTTTTCCTATTTTTATAAATTTGGGACCCAATGAATCATGTGAGATACACTCCTGTGATCCTGCTGCTGCTACTCCTACCACCAGCTGATGACATTTGTGCAAGAGAGGCAGGGAGTGCGTGAGAACGGTTCCTCCTGCACCAGCTGCTGGTACTGTGCTCCTGCTGCTGCTCCTACCAACAGCAGCTTCCCACCGTCTCAGAGTTTTGGGAAAAAAGATTACTTGTCCTATCTGACAACATTAGCTGGAGATGAGAACTCTGGAGTTAGTGGTCCCCTATAATCATTGTGAGAGAGGTTGCTGATATGGTCCTTAGAAGGCCTGAGTTGAACTGGGTAACCATACTCGAGACAGCAATGCTAAAATACCCATATCGCTAACGTGAAACATTTTTGAGAACAATTTGAGACATGCCTTTGCTAGAAGGGACACCATCATAGGTTTTCTCATGCCATATCTTTTACTGCTTTATGAACAAAGAGCTTTATCTTGTGCAACATGAGTTCAGGCTGCTCTTTGTGTTCATGTTCACTGATCTCAGAAAGATGCTTCACAAGTGGGAAAGTGCTCATGGGGAACAGTTTACAAATCTGGACCTACAGACTGTCTCTTGCTGAAGAATATTTACTTGCAGGAAAAAATATCATGTATCTTGAATACAAAATGCAAATCTCTAGTTCCAATTATGTCTAATAAAATACTTCAAAACATTTTCAGAACGGAAACATATCTTAACATTTTAAAGAAGCTTTTTTTTTTAGTTCTCTGGCATCTCTTTGTAGATTTACAATTGATTTTGTAAGAGAAGTGCAAACTCTATATACCTCGAAAGCAGCACAGGTTGTTTTCAGGAATATACTCCTCCACTGATTACTCTGTGGAGTTTTGAGGGTTTGAATTCAAAAGGATGAACAAGCTTTACCATACTCAGAACGTATGGGCAAGTGGTGGGCAAGTGGCTCACATACGTCCTGTCTAGACAAGAAGAAAGGTAAAGGTATGATGACATATATTTATATTCCTTTACTTTTACTACTTTATGCCTCATCCATACCATGATGCACTAAACATTACGTATCATTTAAGAACTCATTTAGTAGGATTTTTAATTGCATTCTAGGGACATACTAACAGTTTTTTTTTTTACATTGAAACTTTCTATTTACATTGAAAGCTTCTATTTCTTTCTTTTATAAAAAAGGAAACCCAACAGTCAAGGGCGGGTTAGCACTTGCTAAATGGTGGTTAAAATTAATCAATTGAAGAAGGATAATTAAAGCCACTGAAATCTGATCCAAGCAATAAACTGCTGGAATTCAAGTGATGGTGATCAAAATCTGCCTATTTTCCTAGCTGAACCGGTTCTTTTTAGATCCATTTGAACTCAGTCAGTTTATTATTAGTACACTACCGCATGTAACACCTCCCTCAAACCCACCTCTATCTTAAATGATCAAATACTTAACTATGGACAATATATGCTTGAGCAATAAAGGCAGCAGGTAGATCCTATCTTAGGAACTTGTCATTAAAACTACAAGTTTTAGCTTTGCCCTTCATGAAGATTGCTGGAACAGGCTGCATTTTAAATATAGACAGATGAACTGTCAATTGACGACAACTTCACTAATGTTAAATTCTCTACAGTGGAACGAATCGCAAAATAATTTTTCTCAACCAACAGACAAGACTCCTTTCCTGAATTGTAGATCTCTCTGCTTCCAGCCATTAGTGTAAATTCCCAGTGTACGCTGTCATATATGCTATAAACCAGGGGCACTGGAACTATACACTTTGCT